AAATTCTAATGTGTGGCATATTTCCTATTTCTAAAACATAGTTTAAATTTTTTAATTTTTCCAAGTTCTAGAAACAAACATTTAATTGTTGCAGCCAAAGTCATTACAACTTTTAATAATAATTTTCCAAATTATTTGAAAATCAGCTTTTAAAAAAAAGATGTGATATTAATTTTAGATTTTCTAAAATAGATAGTAGAGAATTACAGCAATTAGTAAGTGATATTAATCTAATATTTGTGAAAAAATGTCTCGCGAGAAATTAATGAAAGAAGAACACGCAGGCATATTTAGAAATGTTCAAGAGAATTATCTACAATTTTGTATAACTGCCGAGGAAATTAGTAAAAAATTATCCATTAAAAATAGATTAAAAATTTTCCAACAAGATATAGTATTCTACATATAGTATTGATAAAGAAACATTATTTAATGATATTTTCTTTTTCATTTAAATCCTCGGTGGTATTAATAACAATGCTTTAAAAATTATATAAGGAATTATATAATATTACATCTACATTTTACAAGTAGCAGAAAAAGAACATTTATCAAAAATAAAAATAAATAAATTTTGATGAGATGTGAAAATAAATTTCAAAACACAAGTATCTCAATATAAAGTTTCTTTTGAATGCTCTTAGATAACTTTCCAATTGTAATTCAGAAAAAATGTTTTCTATGCTATCAGATATAAAAACAAAAAAAATTGAAATAAACTTTTGTGCGAATATATAAATGTTAGTTGTGTGTTAAAATCAATGATAAAAGCAAGAAAAAAATTTCTTCTGGACATAAAGATTAATAAATGTAAAGCATTTGTTATAAAGGGTACAAATTATATTCTATTTGTCCTAAAAAAGAAAGCATAGTTCAACGTTATATGTTACCGATAATAATCCTAGTATTTCATTAGCTAATGATGTATAGAATGATATTTTTCAAAATAAAATAAATTATATAAATGGACATTATTATTTTTATAATGTAATAATAGTTTTGCTCACTTAATTATATATATGTATATGAAATAAAATTTGTCTGTAATAGATGTCGTACTTGTAAAAAATCAGTATGTAAAAAATATCATCTTTAAAAGACATCACACTTGTCAAAGACAAGTGTGTAAAAAATATTTTGTGAAAGACATTACATTTATAAATAAGAAATACAGTACAATATTATGTAATATAATGTGGTATAATATGGCTCCAGGCGAAGGTCCATTTAAAAAAAACCTAACGCGCCATTGATGGTACCTCATGTAGGTGGTGTGGAAAATCATCATTAATTTCGTTGTTTCTAAATACAAATGTATACATGTGTAATCAGTATATGTTTGTGTCAAAAAAGAATTAAAATTATTACATATATACAAAAATTATATAATATATAGTATTAAAAATATTATATTTCATAACAGATTATTATTAAAATATAATTTGAATAAATTAACTTTAATAAGTATTAATAAATATAACTTTAATATGTATTATTATTAATAATCTCTTATCGCTTTACAAAAAACAGAGATATAAACATATATTACTCATTATATTAAAAATTATTCTTTGTATGTGAGTATGTATCAATTTGAATTGAATGTGAGTGTGATGTTATATTACTAAATATGATATATATATATATATATATATATATATATTGTATATACTAATAATAAAAAGAAAAATAATGTCAATATTATAAACATACCTATTTTATTGTTCATAATTGCATTATTTCTTTCTTTTTTTCTTTATTTATTCTTTATCCTTTTTTGACTTTTTTATATTGTATGTTTAATTTCCTTTGCATTTATCCTTTGCATGTGTATTTTTGTATGCATCAATTTAAATTAAATGGGTGTATATGATGTGTTAACTTAACTGAAAATAATAAAGAAATACAACACAAAGTATCCTTATTCAAATTAATATTCAAAGTTGGAATAGGATTGTTTTATAAAACTTATCTGAAGAAAATTCTGCTTTTTCATTCCTTCTTTTCTCTAATTTAATTTTAATAATTTTCTCTTATATATATAATGTGGACATACTGCATAATAAATCTTCTATTTCATATGATACAATTTATCTTCTAATGTAATTTGTTTTGTTTTATATAATGAACACGTGAATATATTTCATTTACATAAATATTTTCATTTCATTAAGATTCTGAAATTAAATAAAAAAGTATAAAAAAATATGATTCAGAATATTTGCGATAATAATATTACATGTACCTCTCATATAAAATGATTAAAAAATTAGAAAAAAACAATTTTAACAGCATGGGGTTTCGAACCTGGGTTCTCATGGTTACTAGTCCTGCACTTATCCAATCCGCCATACAGCCCCAATCGAAAACGTAAATTTTGTCGTATATTCTTTAAACAGTAAGTAGGTTAGAACAGGTGAGCCAATTGTTGAGTTTGATTCACACTAGACATAGTCATACGTATGTCGTACTATTTCACTTTTAAAAGGTGGCGGGCATTACATTTTGATTCAAATTCACTTTGTTTACTATGATTAAGGTAGCAACGCATAAGTATGTCTCGTAAGTATAATTTATTAGACTTCCGTTTCCGGTTGCGTGTGAGAAGGTTGAGGTGCTGTTAGTGTGTGTATTTGAGTAGAGTATTAGAGGTGTGAGGAAGAGAAAGGGGGAGAGAGAGTGAGAGAGTGAGAAGCTGGAGTTGGCGAATGCAAGGGGAGTGCAGGCAAGTGAGGTGAGAAGAGAATAGAGCGGTGAGAAGGAAGAGAAGTGATGCAGGTAGAGTGAGTTGGCAGTTTGGAAGATAGATCAGGGGCACGAGGGGAGAGGAAGGTACTAGGAAAGAGAAGTGCAGGTGTAAAAGGAGAGGAGAGATAGGGGATAGGTGTAGATGTGGGGAAAGTCTCTAGTGACAGAGGAACCAGTCGAGGATATAGGGAAAGTCACTAGCAGAGGAGAAAGTAAGTGAAATAGGGTATAGGGAAAGTCACTAGACATAGAGTAAAGGAGATATAGATGGAAAGAAAAGAAATAGAGGAGATAGAAAGATTAAAGAAGACGGAGAAATGGGAGAGAAGAGGGAGCACAAGGACGGCAGAGGAGGTTTTGAAAAGGAAAAGGGAGGAATTAGAGGAAGTAGGGTTGAGAAAGGAGAGAGAGGAAAAAGGGGATTTGGAGTGGGCGTTCAGGAGAAGTAAAAAGGTGATAAGGTCGCCAGAGGTTGAAAGGAGGGAGGAGGCAGGAGGGATAAGGGAGATATTAAAAGAGATGGGGAGGGAATGGAAGGAGGAGATAATTCAGGAGATGAGAGAGATAAGAAGAGAGATTAGAGAGGAGATTAAGGAGGGAGTAAGAGGGCAGGAGGAATTAAGGGAGGAGGTAAGGGGGCTAAAAAAGGAAATGGAGGAGAGGGAGAAAAGGTGGGAGAGAAAGAGAGAGGAATTTATGGGAAGGATTAAGGAGATGGGGATGAAAATGGAAGAATTAGAGATAGGAAAAAAGGGGGGAGAGAGAGAAAGGGGAGAAGGGAAAGGAGAGTGAGGAGATGGAAGATAGGATTAAGAGGATGGAATGGAAATGGGAGAGAAAGGAAAAGAGAAGAAAAGAGAAAGAATGTGATAATAAAAGGAATTAAGGGAGGAGAAGGGGGGGGTGAAAGGGGAGGTGGAGAAATTATTAAAAGAGATAGGGGTAGGGGGGCAAGTAGAGGAAGTGAGGAGAATAGGGGAAGGGAGAAGGAACGGGACAAGTATAGCATTAGTAAGGGTGGGAGAGATGGAGGTTAAAAGGGAGATAATGGAAAAGAAAAGGAGGTTGAGAGGAAGGGAGGAGAGGATTGAAGAGGATCTAACGTGGAAAGAAAGAAGGATGATGTGGAGATTAGGAGAGTTGGCGAGAGGGGAGGAAAGAGAGGGAAGGAGGGCATGGGTAAGGTATGGGAGAATCTGGATGAGAGGTAAATGGTGGAGATGGGACGAGGTGAAAGAGGAACTAAAGGAAGAAGGAGCAGGGGATGAGAGGAGGGAAGAGAGGAGAGAGGAGGGAATAGAAGGAAAGGGGATGGAAACAATACAGGAGACGGGAAAGGAGGGGAGGGAAAGAGTAGGGAAAGAAGGGTGAAAAAGAGAAAGAGAGAGAGGAGGGAAGTAGGAGGTAAAGGGCAAGGGAGAGGAGGGGAAGAAGGAAAGGAGGAAGGAGAAGGGGAGGAAGGATGGAAGGTGGCATTCTGGAATGTGGCGGGATTAAGAAAAAAGGACGCGGACTTCTGGGAAGCGGTAGAAGAATGGGATGTAATGTTTTTCCTAGAGACATGGGTAGATGAAAAAGGGTGGGAAAAGATGAAAGGGAGGATGCCGGGAGGGTATAAATGGGAGGTGCAATATGCGAGGAGGAAGAGTAAAAAAGGAAGGGCTATGGGTGAAATTATAGTGGGGGTGAGAAAAGGGGTAGGAATAGAAGGAAAGTGTAAGGCGGATAAAGAGGGAATGGTGGAGGTGATGATAGGAAAAGGAGGGGAGAGATGGAGGTTGGTGGGAGTGTACATAAATGGGGAGATGGAGAAGAAGCTAGGGGAGATGAATGAGTGGATGGAGGAGAAGGGAGACAGAGTAAGAACGATAATAGGGGGGGGTTTTAATGCAAGAACGGGAAATTTAGGAGAAAGAGTGGAGATAGGAGAGGAGGAAGGAGGGGAAGGGAAGGGAAGAAAATCAAGAGATAAAAAAGTAAATGGGGAAGGGAGAAGGTTGGTGAAGAAGTTGGAGGAAAAGGGGTGGGCGATAATGAATGGAGGAATAGCAGGGGATGAGGAAGGGGGATGGACGTATATGGGGCCGAATGGGAAATCGGTAATAGATTATATAATAGGTAATGAGGAGGTGCGAGGAAGTGCTAGGAGAGATAGGGTTCAGGGTTAGAATAGGGGAGGAGGTGGGGGAGAAGTTTTGGACGGGGAGGGGGGTGTGAGACAGGGATGCCCACTGAGCCCACTTCTGTTTAACATGTTGATGGCGGACTTGGAGGAGGAAATGAAGAAAGGGAGATGGGGGGGTGTGAGGCTAGGAGAGGGCAAGGTTTATACGCTAGCGTACGCGGATGACGTGGTGCTGTTGGCAGAAGATGAGGGGGGGATGAGGGGTATAATGGAGAGGTTAAGGAGATATCTGGAGGGGAAGGGACTGGAATTGAATGAGAAGAAGTCGAAGGTGATGAGATGCAGGAAAGAAGGAGGGAGGTTAAAAAAGGCTAGTTGGTATTGGAAGGGAAAAAATTAGAGGAGGTAAAGGAGTACAAGTATTTAGGATATGTGATTCAAAGGAATGGGGGGCAAGAGGGACAGGTAAGGGACAGAATAAAGAGAGGGGCAGCAATTATGGGACAGGTATGGGGAATAGGTAAGAGGAGATTTGGGAATAATTGGGGGAGGAGGTTGTGGCTCTTCGATGCGTTAGTATGGACGGTTTTAGGATACGGGGTGGAGATATGGGGATGGGAAGAGAGAGAGGGATTGGAAAGGATACAAGAAAGGTATCTGAGATGGATGTTAGGAGTGGATTGGGGAACGCCTGGATATATGATAAGGGAGGAATTGCAAAGGGAAAAGATAAAGACAAGGATGGGAAGAAGAGCATGGGGTTATGAGAGAAGGCTAGAGGAGGGTAAGGGAGGATGGTTGGCGAGAATATGTTTGGGGGAGATTAAAGAAAGGGCAAAGAAAGGAGGGGAATTGTCAGAGTGGGAGAAAAAAAGGAGGGAATTTTTTGAGGGTAAGGGGATGGTATTAAGGGAGATAGAGGAAAGAAGAGAAAAGGGGGAGTTCAGATGGGAAGAAGTTGAGGAATGGGAAGAAAAGGAACAGAGGGAAGAGAGAGTAGGAAAAATGATAAAATCGGAATATAATAAGTGGTACAAACAGATTAAAGGGGAGGGGATTCCGGGCTATCTGAAGAAAGGGTGGGCGGAAGGTAGATGGAGGAGGATGGCAAGGTATAGACTGGGGAATGAAATGAAGGGAAATAGGTATTGGGAAAAGGAGGAGGATAGGAAGTGCAGGATATGTGGGAGAGGGTTAGAGACGTGGGAGCATGTATGGGAGGAATGTATGAATTGGGGAAGGGAAGAGAGCTGGCAGGAAATGGTAAAGGAGATATTAGGAGGAGGGAGAAGGGGAAATATGGTTAAAAAGGTTAGAGAAAGCAAGAGGGAAAGGGGAGGGGGAGAAGGAGAAGGAGGAAAAAGGACAGGGGGATGAGAGAGGGTAGGAGATGAGGGGAGAGAGAGAGGGGAAGAGTGAGTGTGAGAGTGAGTGTGTGTGAGAGAGAGAGAGAGAGGGAGAGGAAAGGAGTGGAAGAATAATGGTAACCGGAAGCGGAGGTCCAACATAGGCTAAGTAGAATGTAAGATTGCGTAGGTTAAGTTAAGTTAGGATAAGAAAGGTTAGGGAAAGGCGGACGTGTGTGTGTGTAGGTAGGGCAGAAATGCGAGAAAAGTTGAAAAAGGCGGCAAAGAGGAGAGGCGTGGCGAAAATTGGATATGTAATTAGGTTAAGTTATAGGTATAAGTTTAGGTTAAGGAAAAAGGGTAAAGAAAGGAATAAAGGTTTGGGAACGCTCCTTTAAAAAAAAAGCGCCTTGTAATCCCCAATTGGGGCGGCAATAAATATATCTAAATCTAAATCTAAGTATAATTTATTATTAATTTTGTATAATAATTATAATTAATCACATTTTTTATCTTGCCGTACATCTTTTTTAAATAGAATTATATAAAATTATTATATTTTTTTTAGAAAAATCAGATGATTTATTAATGGAGACGGACGAAGAGCTGATGCTGCTCATTCTCCGACAAATGCTGTAGGAGCAGCGACAAGCGCGGCAAGAGCTGCAGGCGATCCAGCGCCAACAAAAGAGCATTGCTCCACAGCGGCAGCAACCACAGCAACAGCAACCGCAGCAGCAATCGCAACAGCAACCGCAACAACAACCGCAGCAGCAACCGCAACAGCAACCGCAGCAGCAACCGCAACAGCAACCGCAACAACAACCGCAGCAGCAACCGCAACAGCAACCGCAGCAGCAATCGCAACAGCAACCGCAGCAACAGCCGCAGTCGTAGTCGCAGCCGCAATCGCAGCCGCAGTCGCAGCCGCAGCTGTACAATGAAAGTACGTGTTGTCTATAATTTTTTTCTACACACACACACACACACGTATACATGTAATATATACAATTTTACTATTTCAGATTTATTCAGATATAGACGAGGAGCCGGGCGAGCGAGAGCCCGATGGTATAGACAAAGAGGAGGATATTTTTATGGCCGTGGTCGCGGACAAAACGGACGCGGTAGTCACGGTGGCCGCAGTGGTCGCGGTGGCCGCCATGTAATAATTAAAAATTATTATTTGAATTAATATTATTATAATTATTATATTGTTATTATTACTATTATTATTACTATTATTATTATTACTATTATTATTACTATTACTACTATTACTATTACTACTAATACTACTATTATTATTAATATTACTTTTTATATATTTACATTAATATTATAAATATTAAAAAATATACATTTATTTAATGCATTTTATTTAATAATCTTTGCAAAAATATGTGAAATCCCACTAAAAAAGACATCACAGATGTAAAAAGAAAGCGCTAAGTTATATCTTTCGCCAGCAAAAATAATTCTTTATAATAATAAAAAATATTATCTTGTGACGACCCGATTAGCCGTCACTAGTCGCCCGCGCTCGTGTAAACGGCCCCTTTCGGGGCCACCACACGAATACGTTGGGAATCCGCCTTTTCGCCCCCACCCGTCACTCGACCCCCTCCAAGCTAGTCTTAGAGTGGGGTGGCCGACGGGTATAAAGAGCGGCGCAGCCGAGACTTCGACTCCAGTCCCGTCCTGGTCCCTCGAGCGTACTCAGGGATCGCTCCTCAGCTCCCACACTCCAAATCACCCCGGCCGACGAGCGTTCTCGTCGTGCGGGCCGAGCGTTCTCGGTCACCGGGTCCTGTCCGTGACTCGCCCCGGCCGACGAGCGTTCTCGTCGTGCAGGCCGGGCGTCCTCGGTCACCGGGTCCTGTCCGTAAATCACCCCGGCCGACGAGCGTTCTCGTTGTGCAGGCCGAGCGTTCTCGGTCACCGGGTCCTGTCCGTAACTCACCCCGGCCGACGAGCGTTCTCGTCGTGCAGGCCGAGCGTTCTCGGTCACCGGGTCCTGTCCGTAACTCACCCCGGCCGACGAGCGTTCTCGTCGTGCAGGCCGAGCGTCCTCGGTCACCGGGTCCTGTCCGTAAATCACCCCGGCCGACGAGCGTTCTCGTTGTGCAGGCCGAGCGTTCTCGGTCACCGGGTCCTGTCCGTAACTCACCCCGGCCGACGAGCGTTCTCGTCGTGCAGGCCGAGCGTTCTCGGTCACCGGGTCCTGTCCGTAACTCACCCCGGCCGACGAGCGTTCTCGTCGTGCAGGCCGAGCGTCCTCGGTCACCGGGTCCTGTCCGTAAATCACCCCGGCCGACGAGCGTTCTCGTCGTGCAGGCCGAGCGTTCTCGGTCACCGGGTCCTGTCCGTAAAATCACCCCGGCCGACGAGCGTTCTCGTCGTGCAGGCCGAGCGTCCTCGGTCACCGGGTCCTGTCCGTAAATCACCCCGGCCGACGAGCGTTCTCGTCGTGCAGGCCGAGCGTCCTCGGTCACCGGGTCCTGTCCGTAAATCACCCCGGCCGACGAGCGTTCTCGTCGTGCAGGCCGAGCGTCCTCGGTCACCGGGTCCTACCTGAAAGTCACCGGCGCCCGACGGAGCTCGCCCTTCTCAGGGCGCCCGTACGCGTGTCCGCGTTGGAAACTCTAGCAATAAGTCGTGTCCGCGTCCGTATAATCTGGTCGCGTCTCGTCCGTAATATTTCTATCCGTCAATCCTAGCAATAAGTCGTGTCCGCGTCCGTATAATCTGGTCGCGTCTCGTCCGTAATATTTCTATCTGTCAATCCTAGCAATAAGTCGTGTACGCGTCTGTATCATCTGGTCGCGTTTCGTCCGATTATACTGTGCTGTGTATAATGGTTTGAATCACGGGAGAACCACAGGAAGGTGGCCCCGAATAAACTCTACTTTTACCAGAGCAACCGTGTGTCATTGTAAATCTGAGTCTCCCCTCTTCCCGAATCCTGGCACCGACGAGCCGATCCGTGGCGTCGGGAAAGGTGCTTCGTTACAATCTTCTCAAAAATTATGTTTATAGGAAAAATAATTCTTTGCAAAAACTAATTACCATCAAAAATATTTTCTCAAAAATTATATAATATTTATAAATTATATTTTTTTTTTGTTAATAATACTAGAAAAAAATTAAAATATTAGCATCAAAAAGTAGTAAAATCAAAAAATTGCGCTAAATAATTATATTAATAATACGAGAAAAAAGGTTAAAATATTAGCATCAAAAAGTAGTGAAATCAAAAAGTTGCACTAAGTAAGTAACAACATAACATATAATATTTAGATAAATTTCCTATAATGATACAAATGTATAATTATTGCTTTATTTTAAAACGTTTATAATATATATAATAACAAAATAAATTCAGTAAAATATATATATATATTTATTTATCTTTAAATTTAAATAACATGAATAATTATGTAATTAATTAAAACTGGAATGTATATACATTTGTTATATCCCTAAGAGATATAACTATTAAAAAATAATTACTCGTATTACATCCGTTTGACGACGGACACTGACCGCGTAAAAACGCATACGATGCGAGATATACGCGGAACCGAAATTGCTCAACGCGCAAGCAAAGCAGAAGGACTTTGAATCTGCTTCGCTTGCACTTAGGTCCTTGACCGAGGGGGCCAGGCACTCCTTCCGATCAAGGAAATCCCAAAAAGTGATACTATAAAAACGGAGCAGGAGACGCGCCGCTCAGTCGAAAAGTCACTCTCAAGTCGCTCTCAAGTCGCTCTCAAGACGCTCTCGCGTCGTTAGTTAAACGACCTCACTAGCCGCGTGCGATATATAACATCCCTTCGCAGTCGCGCACGATACGCGAAGTTATAGTTAAACAGTGTCGTTAAACCGATATACTCACAAGTGTAACAGTGGTAAAATAAATAAAAATCAAGCGGTTTACTTGAATAAAAGTTTTAATAATAAAAGTGAAGTGCATTTATTTCATTAACCCGAAATAAGTCCTGACGCCCCAGATCTTCATCCTAATTTGGCGCGACCCCTTGTGTCTCACCCGAGGCACACAACACATTGTAAAACTATTATATATTTTTATAAAATATTTAAATAAATAAATATATATAATAAAATAAATTATTTATCTATAAATAATTATTTAATTCAAATATATTTAAACGTATATTCAAAAAAGGTAATATAAGGCACAAAAAATTAAATTTAGAAAATTAAAAAATTTAAAGTTAAATAAAAATTTTAAATTTAAATTAAAAAATAAAAGTAATAAAAATGTGATGTACAAAAAATACTTAGCGCTGTTTTTGTATTGTAGCCCTTTGACTACGAAACGTCCATAAAAATAATGATCAGTAACAAAATGTGTATATACAGAATATATCAGAAGTATATATATATAATGTCTTAAAAGTAAAATACAACTAATAAATATTAAAAGTTAACATCATTTGAACTAAAAGTGAATACATTAAATTTCACATCTTTATTTAAATATATTTAACTAAAATATTGAACATTAAAATTAACAATAATATATGATATTTTAAATCGGCCAATGGAGCCAAGCGCGAAAAATTAATTCTTCGGAACTGTATCTCTTGGTTTGAGATTACTAAGTTCCATATATAAATTAATCTCGAACTTATATATGGAGAAAAGTAGGCGAGAAAAATATAGGTTCGAAAAGTCGATGAAGTGGGAATCGAACCCGCGTCTTTCACTTTCCGGGCGACTGCTCTTACCAACTAAGCTATTCAAACCCTTTTGATCCTATATTTTTCATTTGCCTTTTTAATAGATGTTAGTAAATAACGCCATGATTAGGCCCGAGCGTGAATAAAATCAAATGAGAAATATTATATATAATATTTATAATCATCAATGCAAAAGATTTCCGGATGGATGCCGCGTGGTTTAACAGCGTAATGCCGACGTTTCGCAAATGTTGCAGTTTGCATCTTCAAGGTTGAGAGCTCCGATATTGAGCTTTCTTTTGTACAAGACACTTTAGATATTATTAAAAAATCTGAAAATATTGACTTAAATTTTTCCCATTAATAGAACATTGCCTAACCTTAACCTATTTCCAATTTCAAAGAGTTCTATGAACAAACCTCTGGAGCAGCAATGGGATCCCCCATTTTACCTATCATTGCAAACATTTTCATGGAACATTTTAAAAATAAAATCCTGAAAAATGCATCTCTTAAACCCTCTACATGGTTTCGATAGGTTGATGACACCTTTGTCATCTGGAGTCATGGCAGAGAAACACTCCCTCAATTTTTCGACTTTCTAAATTGCCAGCACTACAGTATTCAGTTCACAATGGAAATAAAACAGAATAATCAGCTCCTTTTTCTAGACGTGTTAGTTAAAAAGAACAAAGACGGCACCTTAGGCCATGGGGTTTATCGAAAACCAACACATACGGATCGTTACCTCTCATCATCACCGGCTCAGAAGAATTCTATCATCAGTTCATTAATATACAGAGCCTTAACAATTTTTAAACCAACTTCCCTGAATGAAGAATTAGAACATCTCAACCAAGTCTTGACCAAGAATGGGTACAACACCAAAGACATCCATCGAACAACTGAAAGACTGAAAAATAAAATCTCCAGTTCTACAAATATGAGTACATCAAGTGAAAAAGAAGAAGAAAAAAGAGATAAAAAATGGACGACCCTTCCGTATCTTCAAGGTACAACAGAACGCATTAGCAGGATCCTGGGTAAACATAATATCAAAGTAATTTCCAAACCTCAAAATAAGATTGCGCAACTACTTCCTAATCCCAAGGATCGGAGACCACACTTAGAAACACCAGGTGTATACAAGATTTCTTGCTCCTGCGGAAAAGTGTACAATAAGAGAACCTG